CTTCTCACACTCTATAATCACTCTGCTCCAATACATAATGGGGTTATAAAGTCATTCTTCAGCAGACTTAACCAGGGGCAGCTGTAAAAATAATCATCTAGGCAGAGACCGGTTTTGCCAAAAAAGACAGAGTTGGTAGGGGAATGTGGAGTTTATTTCACAATCATCTGGTAAAGCTGGAAGAAACCAATATATAAGATTTCTAGCCCACAAACCTTTCATTAGATCACTTGCTTTGCCGGAAGATGTGGTGTTGAAGCCTTTTCCATGGCTAGGCCAGACAGATAGCTGTCTAAAAAACAGTTTTAGTGCATCTAACAGTTCAGCTTTTTTCAACTGGTTCTTACAGGGAAGTAAAATAATAAAACCAGAGTATGTGAATAGACTTTGTCTCTCACACAATCCTTCCCAGAGTTTGATGGCACCTGGCTGCTATCAAACTGTCAAATTTTGATCTTTTTCTGAGACAAAATATATACATGTACTGCCATTTTGTTTAGCTTTGAAAATAAATTGGGTTACATCTTCTCTTTTAAGAAAGGGATAAAAAAGGGCTCTAAAGTCATCATTTATCTTGTCTTTTTGTGTTCTTGGAGGCAGATGAATTGGGAAAGTAATGCCTCAGACCAATTTTAAAAAATGAAAGTAACACTAGATAGAGTGCAAAAATTGGGATTCATTTAAAATATGAAAAAAAAAATCTTTATCTGTGAACAGGTTTTGAATAATCTTGAAATTCTAACATGCCAAACAAAATTGAAGTAGACAAAAACAGTCAGTTTACTTTCATTTTTTATCTTAATATTGCCAAAACAAAAGTTTGAGATCCTAAGCTAATACTTCTTCATGTAAAGGGGCATTCAATATTAAACATCCATGGCAGTAAGTAAATGCTCTGAAGAAAACTAGTATTTTAACCTGACAGATCTGACACATTTGATTTCAGCATGACTCCTAATTAATTTGAGTTTTTGTTTGGTTTTGTATCATGTATCTGAATGATACTCCTAACGATGGTAGTGGCAGAACTTGCTAGGACAACACATGTTTTGAACACACCTTTTAAATATTTTGTATTTACATGTGGGTTTCTCCAGCATATTAGAAATTAGAGGTGGAAGTCCACCAGATTCTTTGTTAACCTACTATACATACATATCAAGACATACTGGTGTTATAGTGCAACACCAGTAGAGAGTGAGGGTGAGAGAGAAGAGAAGAGAAGAGAAGAGAAGAGAAGAGAAGAGAAGAGAAGAGAAGAGAAGAGAAGAGAAGAGAAGAGAAGAGAAGAGGAGAAGCATGTAAACCCAAAAAATGATTTGACATGTATCAAAGACATTACTGAAAATGAAAACAAGAAAAGATAAATGCTACAGGAAATCAACATTATCGATTAAACAGAGAAGAGCTTCTCATCAAGATCTGCTAATGTTTCACATAGTACAAGTAGAAATATTGTGTGCTAAATAAAGCTTTATGAAAATCCACAACATATCTACTACACAGTATAGTAAAGAAAGTAAGTCATATTTTCATTGCAAAGTCATCAATAAGAACAGTAAGTCTTAAAGAAACAGAAATCTGTAATGTTAGCTGCAAGTCCATTTCATATCTGCTTGCTCCTGTGACATGTTCTGAGTTATTTATACTTCATAAAAGAAAGAGAAGAAGCAGTAATAGAAATTATGTTTTGAGCTAGTTAATTATTCTCTTTACACGTTTGTTTATTTCCAAATTAATTTCTGTGAATTTGGCTTGTCACAGTACATGCTAAAATATCATGAACTGACAGCTGAACACAAATACGAAGTGTCACCCTATCACAGCCAAGTGCTTCCTACACCATAGTTTTCTCCACAGGTGTTCCTTATTTCAAGAACCAGAAGGGAATTGTAGTATTTAGCCTCTGTCCTGTGTATTTTCTAAACCACTCACACCTATTCAAAGCAGCTGTAAAATATTATCACAACAGGATATTATAATTTAATTGTTATTCTGACCAGCTATGCACACACACTGAAAGGCCAGAGAAGAACCTTCTAATTCATCCTAATTATCTCTGTATTATAGGTTATAAAACTGCAGATGAGTTGCTTAGTGTAGGCAGCTGGGGTCATGTTTTATGGAGACTATATTTTGATGTAAAGGTTTGAAATTATGGAGAGTCTAACACATTCACTGGTGACCTGTCTTAAATGTTTATCATTCACCTTGTAAAATGCTACAGTGTATTACCACCAGGGAAACCATAAGCATAACAACCATGTCAGTCCAAATTCTTCCTGCGTAGTAATTTACTGTGAAAAACTAGGAAATAGTAGTGCCCTCTGTGAATGCTGTACTTAACCTTCACTGTGGATGTGTTCATGATGGGTAACTTACGGCACAAATAAAAAGAAACCCTGTTAGAAAGGAAGACACTGACCTATCTAAAGCTTTTCCAGCACGTACCTGGGCAATTAATCATGTTAGCAGCTGTTAAGAGAAGGTCCTTTAGTCTTGTTAGACAGTCACAAACCAGGGAACAGCTGGCCACAGCTGAGCACCTGGAGATTAAAAGTCACCAAACTGCTCAAAAGTTGCTTAAGACATGGATGGAGGAGGAACGTGGGAGTTGCTGCAAGCTGGTGCATACTTAGAAGCAGCACAACTGAGTTACATCTATCTATCAACTTGACAGAAAAGCCAAGCACAAGTATAGCCTGTGAGGCAGCCATTACTGCAGGCTCTGACTTTATATTGTACATTGCTGTACATTACAACCATACCTCAGTATAATACAATAATAACTATACATACTTCTATGCAATATTGTATCATTCTTACTCCTACTAAGAAACTAAGACAATTGCAAAATGGTGTTGGAGCTGGAGTTTATCTCAAATATATTAACTATTTGTATTAGTATCTTGTCTTCTGTATGTGAATCAGTGTGTTTGTGCATGCTTGTCTGTGTATGGGTTTGGAAATCACAATAACTTTTTCCTGGCATTTAGGTTCATTAAATAACATGAAAATCAGGTGATTAAAATCTTTAACATTTTCCCTTAGGACAATCCTAAAATTGTTTTTTATTGGTGGAGCTCAGCACATGAAGCATGTTCCTTCTCATACCAAAAGTCCATTTAACAAGAACTGTCAGTCAAGTTATTTTCTCCTAATGAACCAACCTCTGTTGTATTTACACTGTAGTAACCTAAAAGATGCTGACCTTGCATGAGAAGACACGTCTGCAGTCTGCTTTACAATTGACTGCTTGAGCATCTTGGCACTTTCTCCTTTAACTTTTGTTCACTCTTAAATTTCCACTTTGCCTAATGTCAGGATAGCTCATGACATCCCAAAAAGCCAGGTAGAGCAGGTGGAAATTGAAATGAGAAACATGCAAGACAGTATTTTAGTTTTCTTTGAAGGACAAGCTGGCAAACGCAGCTCCGGTGCCTGAGGACTGTGAGGCTGGTTAGAGTAGGGTACCTATAAAGCACCAAGTGTTTTTACACTTAAGTTGCCCACTATTAAAAGTCGCATCACATCCGTGCAGAATAGACCGTTTCCCTCGGATGCAAACAGTATCACAAAGACAGGAAGCATTCACACGGCTCCTGGGCTGCACTTCGGCGAGCCTGGGATGAAGCCGAGGACCGTGTGTACCATCTAACGCTCCCAAAATCTCGTGTTTGTCAGGCGTGTTTACAGCCCCCACTTGTCTTTTCCCATGAGGGCTCAACTCGGCGCGGGAAGGCCGTGGGAAGGCAGGCTCAACCCAGAGGGCAGGGTGCCCATCCCCGCCGGGTCGGGGTGTGTGCAGGGCAAGGGGGGCTCAGCCGGGGCCCCGCACCAGGCCCACGCATGCTGCTCCGCATCGCCCTGGCCCCGTGTCAGGCCCGCACTTCCCCCGATAGGCGTTGTTTGCCTTCGTTTTTCACTTCTGGCTTGAGTGGGATCTACTTTCTTTTTTTCTGGTCTTGTTTTGACTTCCCGCAAAAACGGTGGCAGTGCCTGCGCCCTGACCCACTTCTCTGTCGGATAATGATATTCCGCGGCTCCAGCCCCTTCCCCCGCTGCCACTCCAATTCCCAGGGAACACGCAAGCCCTCCGGTTCCCGGAGCAGGCAGCAGCCGGCAAATAGTACTGTCTTAGAGGCGGCTCCTCTCCCAGTGCCGCCGGTGCCCCGCGCCCGTTCCCACGGCTGCCCACCGCGGTGCGCCCGCAGCCGGCCCCGACCCACGGCGGGCCCGACCCGGGCCGATTGCTGCCAAACAGGCACCCGCCCTCGCTGGGCTCCGCGTGCCCCAGGCTGCACTGACCGGCCGCGCACCTCGCTGCCCTCGGAGACATCAAGAACCCCAGAGTCATCTCCCCGTCTCCGCCTCGAAATAAACTTTTCTTCCCACGGCAAGAGGAGGCCGGAGGTGTCTGGGGGGCTGCTCCCGCGCGGGGCCGCTCTACCCCCGCCAGCGCCGGAGCTGCTTCCCAGTCTTCAACCCCGGGGCCGCGTTAACCCCTCTCGGTCCCCAGGCCCCCGTTCCCTCCCTCCTGCTTTTTAGGAGGGGCGGGGGGATTCTGTTCGTCCCTCCCGAGGGTACGCGCCACCGCACTCGCCGCGTACAACACCCCCGCACACCCGCACACGCATCCGCTACCCCCGCAACCCCCATCCACGCACACACGCAGCCACTCTCACACGCACAAACAAACACAAACACACACACTCTCTCACACACACACTCACACACACGCACTCTCACAGGCGCGCACACGTGCGCGCCCGCCCAGCGGAGCGCGGTCTCCGCCCCCCCACGCACACATACACGGCACACACAGACACACTCGGCAAACAGACACACTCGCGACAGATACATCAAGCGGACACCCACGCACAGACACGCACCCGCCCGGGCACACCGCACACACCGCGCTCCCCCGCAGCCACTTGCAGCCCCTGCCATGCGCTGAGCGGAACCGCGGCCCCGCCACCTCCCAGCGCCGCTGATCCCGCCCGCCCGCGGCGTGGGGGCGGCCGCCGGGCGCGGTCGCGGCGCGGAGCCGGATCCCCGCGGGGGAGAGGTGCAGCAGCCCGCGGAGGCCGGCGGGCGGGCAGGAGGCTGAGATAGCCGGACAGGCAGGCAGGCAGTCGGAAGGAGGCGAGGGACGATTTGGACATGCTCATTCTCGGGCGCTTGGTTGCCTGCATCCAGCTCATCTGTATCCTCAGAGTGGGTGAGTGATCTCTGCATGAATTCATCTTCGGGCTTCGGAACAACTTTTCTCTCCGGGCTCCAGTGGGTTTTGGTCTCTCAGATCCCTTTTCCTTAGATATGCAGGCGCAGTCCGTGCCTGTTCCACACAGCGAAAACACGCTGTCAATACCACGGGTGGGAGCGTTTCTCCTACCCCTTTTACCTCAGCCGCCGGCTCCGAGGATGCGCGGTACCCCACGCCATCGCCAGCACTGGCGGGCTGCTCCGAGCGAAGCTCGCCAGCCCACCTTGCCTCTGCTCCCCCAGCGTGCCCCGCCGACTCCCAGGGGTCCGGCCTCACTGGGCTGCCGGCTCCCGCTGGGGAGGGACTGGGTGTGCGCCGGTGACTGGGGGAGAGTGAAAATCCATGCCCAGCAATGCTGATACCGAGCTTCTCTGGGGACGTGGGATGTGAGATGTTACTTGAAGGTCTCGCATGAACTGTTCCGAAGAGAAGGGGATGGTGCAAAATTTCACTTCAAAAAAGGACTCGTTCTCCATGAACGAGTAACGTCAGTGCTTGCCCTAAACCATGCAAAATACGAGTCGTTCATTCACGTGGGCCCCGCATACAGCATATGGATTCATATATAGATGTTAGTAGGACTGCTTACATAACCAAATTCATTTGCAGCTCATGCAGACCTGTGCAACTGGAGTGCATCCTAAAATTCAAGCTGTTCCCTGTTACATGATAGAATGGTTATTAAAACCAGGATGAGTCACTTGATGCTGTTAGAAGAGCTCTCTTCAGTACTTTGCCAAATATACACTAGCAGCTTATGTGGTAGCGTTTGTATCCTGTTGTATGATCGTTTTGAATTTATAAGCTGTTATCAAACAGATCACTAGAAAATACCGGTTGGCTACTTATATTTCAGTATGAGGAACTTGGGAGCTTCACCTCCTTGTGTACAAAACCAGTCTTACAATAGGTCTGCGGTGACAAAGTAGTCACTAACCTACATTTGTCACCCAATAGATGGTGCTGCTTCTGAAATCATACAGCTCTATAAACAAAGGTCGTGGTTAGGTTTCACTCTCAGTGAAAGCAATTTTGTACCAAGTTCTGCTAGTTAGAAAAAACTACTTTTTTTTAATGGGAAAAATATTTTTTGCCTCTTTTCAGGAAATACTGTGGAATGATTCAACTATAAACGTGATGAATGTAACTGACCTTCAGTTAAAATGTATCATCTTTGTAAGGGCATTAATAATATTTTAATGTCACTTTTAAACTAACCTATTCCTACAAACAGGATGCTTACTCCAATTCTCTTACTTCCAATAATTCTTTTATACTATGGCAAAGAATGGCCTGTTAAAAAACTTTTGTTAAGTTTTAATAATGTCTTTCTTACATTGCCAACCTGTTTCCTAAAATCAGATGTATTCCATGTCTGTTTAAAGGAAAAAAAAATTAGCAGGCGCTTTTACATGTGTGTGGAGGTATATGAAAATATTTGAGAACAGATCAAGTATATGATGATATGGTCATAATATAATACAACTCAAATTTTGGAAAGAACTTTTCTATTCAGGTGATCCTATCACGCTGGCAGCAATGCAGGACATAAATGTAACATTTGTAACTTTCTATTTGTTTGTTTTAAATAATTTCATCTAGCATCTTATTAGAAATAAGCTGGGTTTATGTAATGTTATGTTTAGGTACTCCCTGTGCATATGTATGTTATATTCATGAATTTACAAGATCTGACAGGATGGAAAAAGGTTTTCTACTCAGGCATAAGATGTAAGTGCAGCTACTTTTTATTTTCCTAGACCGATACACTATTGTTTTCAAACCTGACCTGGAGTGGACCCCCTTTCTAGATGTGATTTGGTCTCAGTGATGCATCATTCTGAAGACTCATGAGCTAGACTTCTCAGTATGTTCAAGAGTATGATTGTTTCCAAGAATGAATACCCTGTACAGGCTTTTAGGTTGATTTAATCAGATTTCATTTGAATATATTCCTGTTTGATTTTAATATGTTCCTCCATAACAAATATGCTATAATCTGATAGCATTAGTTAATAGAAACAAATATTTATAATCCTGATATAATTTTCTTCTGTGTTTTTTGGTTTTTTTTTTTGCTTGAGTTTTTTTTTCATAAAATATAAAATAAATTGTGCATTCCACCAATGTATGGTTCCAAGGGTTTGATGAGAGAGAAGAACTGGATGGGACTGTCTGTCTCTTACCATTAAATATTTCTGGTGCAGAAGAAACCAGACCCAGGGCTCTCTTGAATGGATTGTTGGAGAGTATGGAATTCTGCCTTTGCATTGTGGAGCCTATGCTTATTACTGTGAGGCTAGACAACATGTAGATCCCAGCTTCATTTGCTTGTTTCAAAAAATGTTGTTGAGTCCTTAGCTGATCTGGTACAGAGCTTTATACGTGGTCCTTCCTGGGGGAATCTGATTGGGAGATTTGCTGCTGACATTGGGAGATTCATAAGGGAAATCTGTCTATTATGTGTTCGAAAAAGACAAGGCAGCCAAGTCAGCCTCACTGAAGAATAAACTGTTAGAGCAGATGGAGGCATAAAGTTCTTCTAGGAATGACAAGGCAGTGACAGCTCATTCTTTGCTTTACTGAAGAAATGCTTGGGAGCTTAATTCTAATATCCATGCTGAGATATGAACAGAACCTTCCTTCACAGTCTGACTGAAGCCAAGGAACTTGATTACATCAAGTACTGATGTAATTACGGAGCAGGGTATTATCTGAGTATTCTCAGCGAGTGCCACTCAGTGAAGTTCAATGAAACCTGTGGAGTGAGATGCTATTCAGTCACAAGTGGGAGCTCATAAGAAATCCTATGCAATTGTTTGTGAACCCTACTGTATGGATAGAGATTTCCTATTAAATTCTTTCTTTTACTGAGATTAAAGGGAAAAAAAACCCCAACCCATCATGGACAATTCACTTTTTTTTTTACATTTTTATTTTAAATGAGAAATTTATGAATATGTAATATTCATAAATAGGAATATATGCCTTCATAGATCTCAGACTGAAGATACTCTTCAGATACTCTTCAGGGCAGAAAAACTGCCCTAGCTTACTGATGTGTTCCATATAACCTGAAAGTCAATGTGGTGTGCCCTATTTGTGCCTTTTGTCACATTGTTCCTAAGGAAATAGTATCTAGAGCTTTTTCAATAAGTAGACTATTTATGAATCTGTGTAAACAAGAAAATGTTCATAGAAAAAGGAACATATTTTTACAAATTAAACTATAATTGGGGTTAAATTTCAGTCAAAGAAGTGTAAACATTTAGGCAAGAGTTAAAAATACTCCATGCTCTCACTAGCAAAATATATGGGTAGTTTCCACAAATACAGTAAAAAGTGTTTCTAGAATTTGCTAATCTGCATCCTATTGCTGTCACTGTCTGGCCTCAGCTGGTGTTTTGCCTTTCAAAAAGCAACTCATTAATCTATGAATTGCTTAATTAGTTGTGTCTCAGTTTAATTTCTCACTATCTAGAAAAGATTTCTCATTTTTTAGTTTGTTTCTGTCATCCATGACTTTATTTGCACAAAGGTGGTAATAGTTCCCTAAATACTCTTATTTTTCTTATGCGACTGACATCGGGACAGTATTTCCGAGCTGTCAGGCATGCATCTCACTATCAACATGAAAGCAACTTCTCTGCATTCTTTACTGGATGGTCATAACTAAAAATTATGACAATCTAAAGTGGAGCACCCTTTTGGCTTCCTAAATCAAATCATACATTTTCCTGTCCACGTGTTTAGACTCAGTTAGACTTTAACTTAGACTGTTAAAGGGCTATGGGATCAGATCCTTCTTTTTTGCACTGACCTAATATTTTGACAGCATTTTTGTAAGCCAGTTATTTGACACACTTCAAACTTAATTATTACACAGTAATATTAATGTATACTACTTCTAATGCTTTAGCACATTTTATTCTTAAGATTATATGTTCCTCTGGATGATGATACATAGCTCCTATGGAGAAATGTAATCCTGCTGTATCTTAAACATAAGAGCTAAAACAAAAAATAAGAATTTTAGAACTGATTTTAACCATCTATATTATAGTTAAATATTTGGTTATTTAGTAAATATGGTTATATTCTACTTTAACCATCTATATTATGGCCATATATATGTTTTGCCTTTTTGTACCATAGAGATTTATATATATTAAAATCTAAATATACAATATGCATTTATTTTAGGTTCAAATATTGGCAGGCATGAAAAGTATGAAATGAATGGCATTTAAAAATTAATGTCAGTGTAGCCAAATATTTATTCAGCACACTAGTTGTCTGTGGGACATATCTAAAATAGTTATGTAGTTTTCAACATTGAATCAATACAACTTATAAGGAGAGTTTTCTCAATTGCATTTGGCCTTACTTCATCTCTGAATTTAACCTTCTATCTGGATTCCTGGAGAGAAACTAAATGATATATCAAAAATAAGATGGTAATTTGAAAATATTATCATTACAATCTGCATTGTAAATTAGGATGCTAATTTATGAAAATAGGCACTTGCCCATTTCTTAAGGAAGGCTATTTCCTAGATTTTCACTGCTCATCATTTAAGTGGCCACTTCCCACTATGAGATCTCTAATTAGGAATTTAAGGGTGAACAGATTCTGTTCCCTGACAATTTCAATTCCTCTTCAAATGTGCTGTGCTTCTCAGTATTCCCCGTAGGGCCTGGAAGTCTGTGGCAGTTCCGGAGCCCCTAGCTCCCATTTAACAGCTCCGTTCTCACAGCTTCTTGCACCATTTATGTGGCTTTCCTGTACAAGACATCCTTTGGCTATTCAATAAGCTTCTTTTCCCATAAAGACAAAAGTTACCTTTTTGAATACATGTCAAGCCTTCTGTATTAGAAAGATGAATCTACAGGAAGAAAAGGACTTACAGTATTAAATAAACAAGATCCACTAAATGAAAGATAGCAAATATTTC